AGGAGTTTCAATAGCCATTTCTCCCTTCATAGAAGAAATAATAAGGCCAAGCCTTTTCATACAACCAACAACAATAAAAGAATGAGTAGAACTAGTATCAATAATAATAATCAAAAGCGTATTATTAATATAAAATATACCTCTGATCAACCGGTCATCACTGAAAGTCTGGGTTCTTGACAGAGCAAACACATTTCCTTTAGTTGAAGCTTGATTTGGATTTTGGCAACGAGTACTAATATGTCTAAGTTTTCCATATTTGTAGCAAGTCACCATATTAACCTTGCAGTCAACAATCAGATGTCCAGACTGCCCACACTTGTAACATTTCTTCACATCGCTCTTCCATTCACTGACACAATGACCCAACTCACCACATCTGTAACACTTAATAGGAACAGAAGCACCTCCCCCATTTGGTCTCTTACCACCCACAACTCTCTGTTTACCTTTATCATCTAGAGCACTGTAAGGCTTCCCACGGTTCATATTTTGCTTTCCCCTATTCTCACTCAGACTCTTATAGTGACCTGACCTAGCTTTGCTATCCTCCTCATAAATTCTACAGCTATCCACCAACTATGGAAATACCCTTATCTTTCGATATCCAACCGCCAGATTGATCTCAAGATGGAAGCCATTCTCAAATTTGATATACTTTGAGAACTCAGCAGTCGCCTCACTATAACATGGATAAAACTTAACAAGTTCCACAAATCTGGCAGCATACTCAATAACAGACAGATTACCCTACTTCATCTCTAGAAACTCAATCTCCTTCTTACCACGAACATCCTTAGGAAAGTACTTCCTTATGAACTCCCTATGAAACACAACCCAGGAAACAACTTCACCTAACGAGTGTTAACCCACTCGTCATCAACCTCCTCAGCTAGCATATGAGTACTAAATTGTACTTTCTACTCTACAAAATAATTCATCACTCAAAAGATCCTTTCAATCTCCTTGAGCCACACCTGCGCTCCATCCAGGTCATACCTACCCTTGAAAATAGGGGATTGTTCTTCTGGAACTTTCCTAAGTGAAGGAACTCATCATTCTTACCAGTATTAGGTTGATTCTGAACAACCTGAGCAACAACCTGCAACACAGTAATAATAGCAGCATCATCTCTCCTTCCAGTCATTTATATTTTTCAAACATAAATAACAACAATGGTTAGAAGACAACAATGACAATATTCAACTGTCACAACACAACGACTCAACAACTTGGTCGGACAGACCGACCTGCTCTGTTATAGCTAATTTAACACCCTAAATATACCCTGCGAAATATAAAAATATATTAGAGTAATTACATCAAATATATTCAGAATGTCACACAATTCAACACAAATAATTGCTATATTAGGATATGTAACACAAGCAGTTTATTTGAAAATTATTTAAAATCACCAAAACATCTCAACATGTCTTAATTTCAAAACTTTACTGAAATAACGGAAGCATCAACATAAACAGTTAGAGATTTACAACAAACAACAAGAATACAAATACTCAAAGAACAAAAAAAACTTGACACACTAGATTTTCAATTCTTGTGATGCGTGCCTTCAAAGGTAGAAACGAGTCTCTTTAAATAGAAATTCATCTTCTAGGGTTTTCTCCAATGGGCATTTTGATTTGAAAACAACCAGGTTTGATTTGCTTTAAAAACACCCACTCAAATAACTGATTTGATTTGATCTTCATTCAATTTAAATCTTCATTCAATTTAAATATTCGTTTAATTGGCTTTGTTTTTATTAAAAGAGGAGTGCCTTCAAATAACTGATTTGATTTGATCTTCATTCAATTTAAATCTTCATTCTCTTTAAATATTCAATTTTTTAGCAAAACTTATTAAATAACATATTGCTAAAAGATACAAATCATAAACACTAGATCTTCCAGGAATCAAACATAATTTTGCTCAGAAAAACTCACAAACTATGGCCTACAGACTGAGGTCAGATGTTTCACACTTGCTGGAACGTCTTGCCCAACGTGTTGCATTTTCACCAAAAATACATGAACTACTTAATATTGTTTTACCTAATGTAGGCAACCAAAAGGAGCAATAATCATTTTGCATGGGAATATGATTAACAAAGGAGGTGTTCTTGTTCATAAAATTATGCTCAAATGGATGGACTTACCTCATAAGCATGACACTTGGGAATTTGTTATGATTGAATTTTGTTGTTGTTGTTGTTCATGTCACAATTCTTGCAAGAGACTATTTTTTCAAGAGAAATTCATATTCTTGTCCTTTTGAGAAACAGTTCTCACTAAGGTATTCTTCGCTTGTTCTAAATCAATATGCTTTTGTGGTTGTTTTTATAAGAAGATGATCAAGAAAAATATTCGATATGCTAAAGTTTTAATCAAACTCAAAATTTTGTCTCTTTTAAACACGACACTTGTGCACGCTCATCCAAAAAGGACAAAGATATTTAAAAGGGGAGTGTATTGTTACCGTCAATCAAATTAATTATTTTCATTTTAGTTAGTTGACATTTTCCTTATTTTTCTATTTCCATATTTCTATGCAATGATTTTATTATCTTAATAAAACTAGTTACTATTTTCCTATTTCAAATGCAATGACGGGTAGAGTTTGTTAGCAATTTGCTTATATATAACCATCTAATTAAATGGAATAAATATATAAAATTATCTTTCAATACTATACTCTCCCTATTGTATATAATGTTACTTTAAATCATTAAAATCCTAACGCTCGAGACTTGAATTTTATCGCTTCGTCTATAGAATCAATTTTCTTCGGTCAAAAATTCAACCATAAAATTTTTATTGTCGACGAGTACTGCCTGAATTTTTGCAGGGTGCTATAAAAGACTCATAGTTCTACTAGACGAGCTGTTAGATATGTCTGCCGACGAGTTCTTCTTTGCCAGCACTCCTCTTCTCTAGAAATGCCAAAATTAAGTTTAAAAATTGGGTGCACAGAGTTTTTTTAAATATGATTCTATTAAACTGCTATATTTTGACACCACTAGTAAAACGGGTTTAAGATACATTATGACTCTAAGAGATTTATACTTGCCACCCGCACATAAACCTAACACCCCCTCAAATTTCCCATAATATCCAAAATACTGTTAAAATTTTACCATATAATAACGCATGAAAAATTCAATATTGCAATTGAAATATTCGGTAGGAATAGAAAAATTTGGCAATCAATTTCAAAAATCCGATAGCACTTTCAATTGTTTTATAAAAAAACGAAGTTAACACTAACATATTTTTGATATGTTTTGTAATTTTATGAATTTAAAAAAAAAATTGGTAGTTCATTTTGAATAAGCAAAAAAGACAAAACTAACACTACCAGATTTTTTTTGAAAATTTTATTAAAAAGTCATAGTTTTTATTTTGAAAAAACTTATAGTAAATTTGAAAAGTCAGATAAAATTTGATAGATTTTTTGAATAATCTATTAGAATCTTATAATTGTTTGAAAAAACCAATGAAAACACGTATATATATATTTTTAAAAATTTGATAAAAACTAATAGATATTTGAAAAATCTAATAGAATATTTAAAAAAAACGATAAGAATTCATAGATTTTTAAAAATTTTAATAGTTTATTTGAAAAATTCGATGTATGTTTGTAAAAATCGATATTTTAAGGGTCTGTTTGGTTGGGGGGTAAATGGAGGGGAGGGAATATTTAATAATTTATGTGTTTGGTTCAAATTTTAAGAGGGGGAGGGAAGGTAGATGGAGGGGACCAAAATTCCTCCTGAGCCACTTTTTGCTTCTCCTGATTTGGAGGGGAGAGAAGATGTTTGATTTTAATTATAATTATATTTACATATTTATCCTTATTATTTATTTAAATATAAATTTAACTTATAACAAAGTTAAAAGTTTTATTTTAAATAAATTTAATCTTTTTTTTTTATATTTGTTGTATTTTTATATCTTCATCTTACTATCATTATTCCTGTTAAAATTTTTTATTTTATTTTTCATATTTTTATGTTAATTTTAGTTATCGTAATGTTTTTGTTGATAATAATAATGAGGCCAAAACTGTAATTTAGCCAATTATATATTATAATCATTGCGTTTTTATAAAGTATTTCATGATGATCTCTGATTGAATATTTATATTTCGTCAATAAATTTGTATTTGAATTATAAACAGTAAATATCACAAGTCTTATGATAAAAGTAGAAGGATAAAAAAGTAAATTAGTTTTAAATTACCTCCCTTCCTTTTATGAACTAAACATATTTATAAATAAAATGTCTCTCCTCCCCTCCCTTTCATATTTTGAACCAAACATATATGTAATTAAAATCTCTTCCCTCCTATCCCCTTGATAAAAATTCCTTCTCTCCGCTCGATTGAACCAAACAAACCTTAAATCCGATAAAAAAAAATATGATTTTCAATATTTTTTTAAAATCAGATAAACACTTATAAAATTTTAAAAAATTCAATAAAAAATCACGAGACTCTCAAAAATTCCTAACAAAAACTCATTGATACTTTCAAAAATCCAATAAAAATTTTAAAAAATTCAAAAAAAAAAAAAACACAATATTTTACAAAAAAAAACATTAAAAAAATGCAATTGTGGGTGCCAAGTTTAAGTATGTCGGGCTGTAACTCTGTTCTGTTCGGCCCAAATGAGTTGAACCGAAACATCGTTGAAACAGAATAAAAAAGTGTTTCCAAAACCCTGCAACAATCAGCCGAAAATTCCTCACTATTCCGAACATCTACGTGAACTTCGATCACCACTGTTTCTCAATCTCATCCTCAATCGCATCTTCAGGAAAATCTCACGGAGGCACCGCCGTTCTATCGACCTCTAGCGGTGGCGCTGCCATTGCAACATCTTCTTCCCCATCGCTACAAACTTCCTAGTTTCCTCTTACCACGACGACCAACCTGCCCTCTTACCTTTTCAGTCACCACTTGCTTCTACCTTTCATAAACCTAACCTAAGAAGCATGGGTATGTAATGTAACCCTTTTCTCTTTATCAATTTATTACATTTTTTTCTCCACTTTTCAATTTTTAGTTCTAATTTTTGTTACTGAATTACGTTTCAGAGGAAAAAGCTTCCGAAAAATCACGTCGAGAACGGAGGAAAGAATCTCGGTTGGCGAAGAATGCATCCAAACACCAATCCTGGCTTCAACGCCATGTAACTATATATCTTTTACTTCATTCATTTAGATTTTCTTTCTTTTGTTTTGTTTTCTCGCCACAACAATGACAAAACTCTAATTATCTATTTTATAGAAATCTGAAGCTGTAAAAAAAAGTAACAGTCAAAATCAGGAGTTAAAGTCTGAAGGCAAATTGGACCAATCAGTTCAGATGAAATTGAAATCTTTGTCTAAGAAACAAGTGCCAGCTGAAGAATGTGCCTTGTCAGAAGATGAAAATTGTGGCCCTGTTGTGAAGAAAGTGAGGAAGGGTTCTCAGTCAAGTTCCAAGAAGAAGAGGATTGAGATGGGTCTGTCTGAGGTTTCAATGGCTGCTCAGAAGGATTTAGAGTTGGAAAGGAAACTCTCCAAGAGGCTTAAGGTGAAAGAAGGAAAGTTGGGGGGAATGGATGATGGATTGAACTTGTTATTTGAAGGAATGCCGTCTGGTGATGATTTATTTGGAGGAATGGAGGGTTTTGATACTGAAAAATTACCGAAAAGAAAGTCGAAGAAGAGCCAGTCAAGTAAGAAGCATAAGTTATTAGATGGTGTACCGGGATCCGTGGAAGGTCCTAATGAACATGTAGCATTTGAAGAAGTTCCCGGTGGTGTAACTTCCAGGAAGAAGAATCAGAAAAGAAAATTGTCGAGTCAACAGCAGGAAGATGGCGCGGAGGGTGGTGTTGCAGGCACTGTCAAACCTGTGGAAACACGTGGAACAGATGTGACATCTGGGGATGTTGCTGAAATTCCTGAGAAGAAAGAGAAAGGAAAATATATAGCTCCTCACTTGAGAGCTCGTGCTGGCAATGAACCTGAGGAGCATACACAAATTCGAAGACGTGTACGAGGTAGGGAAGGGAGAGACTTTGTTTTGATTTTTCATATTTCTAACTCTGTCATTAACTGTTTCTCTTTGGATTTGAACTTGATTCTTCAGGCCTTCTTAACAGGATTTCTGAATCAAATGTTGAGTCAATTACTGGAGAATTGTCCTTGATCTTTCAGGTATGCCACACTTCTATCACAAATGGCGACTCATTTAAATTTTTAATTCCTGCTAATTTTGTTTTTAATTTTTTACAATTTGACAATAAAAAGGTCTTCTTTTTAGAATGAAAATAAAGTAATCATTTTGGAAGAAGGAACTAAACCTAGTTTTCCTTCTCTGATTTCAATCAGTTCAGAGGTAAAGGGGTAAAGCTCAAGACTTTGAGTTAACCCTAGCATGTAAGTTGATTTTCTAGGAAGGTTATAAAAGAAGTTAAATGTTGCTTATCTTGCTTTGTGAGGGTTTCTAGTTCACCTTGTTACACCTCCTCATGGTTATGCTTCAAATTGAATTATATAGGGTCATAATTAATGGGATTTTGCAATAACTATTCAAATAGTTACTAACTCGACTACTTGACTTTTGGTCTTGACATATTTATATGCCAACTTTCAATGTTTGATATATACCTATCTGTAGATTTTTTCTTTTTAAGTAACTATCGCTTCTGTGAAATAAAAACAGATGTTCTTTGAAGTTTTAACAGACACCTATATGATATAATCTCTTTGCAGTCTGTTGCTCGCAGTGTTGCTTCACAGATTATGATTGAGGAGGCTTTAGCATCATGTTCTGGAGGGCCCCGTGGCAATAAACAGTAAGGATTTATCTGCCTTCCTATTTTACTCAGACCTCCCTATGGGAATTTGCTTAACATGTGATATTTTGTTTTCTATGTGGGAATCTAATTGTTGAACCATTGTGATGGCATTGGAAAGTCATAAAATAAATGAAAATATTTAATCAAATCTAGTTGTAGAGTCAAATAATGAGACGAGACGTGGTTAAACCATTAAAAGTTGATTGTCTATGGTTTCAATTTAGTTTAGTTTAAGCCTAAAACCTTAGATGCAGATGATCCAACCTGGAAGAGTGAAAACTTATGAGTATGATAACAAAGGAAAAGAAAGTTTCTGTGGATATTCGTTGTTGAGATGAGAAGGGAAAATGTGGCTCAAAAAGACTGTCTGAGTAAGGTGTGAACGGAAGGATTGAATAGCTATAGCTTCTGCAGGCTTTTGGTTTAGAACAATTTATCGTGAGTGTAGAGGTTGTTGTTCCTTTTGTGAAGATTCTATAGACATTCAGAAATTATTGTTTAACCCTTTCATATTTCAGCATTCTTTTTATTTGATCTTCCTTTGAGGGTAGGGATTATCCATAATCCCGACTGACTCCTGTGATTTTTCACCGTGGCTAGTTCTATGGACTTTTTATGTTGCTGTGCTCATTGTAACTGACAAATTTTTCTTGTGTAGATATGCTGCGGTGTTTGCTGCGTTTGTTGCTGGGATGGCCTGTTTGGTTGGTATGGACTTTGGTGCAAAGTTTATGGCTTCCTTTGCCAAATGCTTTGAGGTATAGCTCGTTAACAAAATAACAGCGTAAACTAGTGTCCAATTTAACATGTGTTTATTATTTGTTTAATTTGTTGGTCTTGGTTTCTTCTCCAAATCATAATTTCCTCCCATTCCAGTGTTTTAAAGGCTACAAAATTATAATCTTCACATGTTTTATGCACAGGATGAGTATCATAAAGAAGACAATCTCTCCTTGCGGAATCTTGCACTTCTCTTATCCTATTTATGCATATTTGGGGTCTGTTCTAGGTGGGTAAATTGTACTGCACCAAGTATAACAACATTTTAACTATATTTTCCTAATAAATATCTCTTAATGCTTTTCAGTGATTTAATATTTGACTTTCTAGTCATGTTGAGCAAGCGTTTGACTGAGGTGGATGTGTCTATTATTTTGACTATGTTACAAAGTAAGTTGTCTTCATAAATCTCTGTTTCTATTTGGATAATGTTTACCGTATAGAATTGCTTTTATTCCCTTTATTTCTCCCTTACTGTTCAAATTGAAGGTTCCATTTAATATTATATATAGTAGCAGTGTTTTTTTAGATGATTCTCATAGGAACTTGCTCAATTAGGGACCTGTGATTATTTCGTTGCTATTGTTTGTAGGTTGTGGAATGAAAATAAGGGCTGATGATCCAGCTGCCATGAAAACATTCATTCTTAATATTCAGGATACATCAAATAAGTTGAAGGCTTCCTCTGGAGATGTCCCTGAAAAGAATAACAGCAAAAGAGTAAGGATGTTGCGTGCATGTTTTGTTATTCATTTGAAAGTCCCAAACCATATTTTGTCATGTTTTATGACTAGAAAACTGCGTATAGTTTTACTACCCATTGTTCAACTCTGATTACTTGATAACACTTGTAGATGGAGTTCATGCTTGAAACCATATATGATATCAAGAACAACAAGAAGAAGACAGAAGAGGTTTCCCCTCGAATTAAAAAGTGGCTACAGAAGGTCCCATAATCTAATCCATGCTTTATGTCATTTTTTTTATTATTCAAGCTCCTTTCTGGGAAAATATTATGTGTTATGTTCCACTATAGCTTATTTTCAAAATATAATAGAATTCCTTACAAACAACAACCATACCTTTTTAATAAGGTGGGATCATCTACACGCGATAAACTTGAATGACACCATAAAACATGGAATTCCTAAATTGGTAACTTGCGTTACAAAAAGCTGATCCCATGACTCAAATTTATTAACTTTTAAATTCCAATTACCTGGCAGCAACTCCGCTGTTGAATTGCGTAGGTAGTACTTATCTAGTTTCGAATTTTCTTTTGATAGAGAGGGGATACAACTTTTGCATTTTCTCTCCTTTGTTAAGCATAGAATTAATGAAGTTCTAAGAGCTTTTTTATTAATAACCTTACTTGGGCACCACAAAAATGAAGTTTCGACACTGAGCATCCTTGTTGGAAATCCTATTATTTGTAAAACCAAGTGATGCATTTTATTTTATGGAATTATTCAAACATAAAGAATTGAAGATCATACCTTTCAACATTAAGTTTTTTTTCGGAGTAGTGTCTAGGACTTGTTGAAGTTTTCTTAAAAGATGATGTATTGACTTTATCTGTCGTGTGGCTTGTATGTTGCTTTCTGCAAGTTCTTGTTCTTTCACTTGTCTTTTTACTCAGCATGTGATATGAATTGTGTTAACTATAGTTAGTCCTGTCATTGTTAACAGTTTCTGTTAGTAGTTAGGGATCAATAAGTGTTCTGTTTACATTCTGTAGCAGTTACTGTGAGCTAGATAACAGAATGAATAGCTTGTATTAGAAGCTAGCTCAGTCTATCGATAGAGTGTAACTCACAGTTCTATGTAAGAAAATCATTTGTATCATTTCTTGGAAAATTTGCTGAACTCCACCTCTCCTTTTTCCTCTCATTTTTATCACTTTCTTTTACTTTCATGGGGGGCTATAAACACTAAGATATGTATTATTGATAAGATAATTCTTGTATTAAATTGATATTGAATTTTTCTGTTAATCAAAAGGCACTCATCTGTTATTGAAATTCTATTGAATTTTGTTTCCAGTTAAGAGTTGATGATATTTCAATTAGAGGGCTTACATGGAGTAAGTTACTTGATCCTGACAAGAAGGGACAATGGTGGTTATCTGGAGATGTGGTTTCTTCAAAAGATAATGTTGAAAACGTCGCTAACAAAATAGACAAAGATCTTGCTGAAACCCAACGAATGCTGCAGCTTGCTGCTGATCAAAGGATGAACACAGATTCCAGAAGGGCAATCTTTTGTATTATAATGTCCGGAGAGGACTATATTGATGCATTTGAAAAGCTTCTGCGATTGGAATTACCAGGCAAGCAGGTTGGCTATTTTTTTCTTCTGTTCACAATGTCTTCTTTCAATTATGTGGCCTTCTGCCCTCTGATGTATTATTCGTTCGTATTCCAGGACAGAGATATAATACGGGTTCTTGTTGATTGTTGCTTGCAAGAGCAAGTTTTTAACAAGTACTATACAGTGCTGGCTTCCAAGTTGTGTGAGCACGACAAAAACCACAAGTTCACTTTACAGGTATTTGTTTCTTTCTCCTTGTTATAAAGGACTAAGGCAAGAGCTAACTTGAAGTAGAATTGTGTAATGTAATGTGTGCCTCAACTTTGCCATTTATTTCAGTTTTGTCTATGGGACCACTTTAAGGAGTTGGAGTCTATGCCTCTTTTGAGGTCAATTAACCTCGCAAAGTTTGTGGCGGAAATGGCCGCGTCTTTCACTCTCTCCCTCGCAGTATTGAAGACTGTGGATCTTAGTGATATCCCTCAGCTAACTCCAAGAAGGATTATGCATTTCCGCATTTTGTTTGAGACCATTTTCGAATATCCCGAAACTGTGGTGTGGAAGATATTCACCCGGATCGCAGGGACGCCTGAACTTGAAAGTTTTAGACAGGGCATTGAGTTTTTCGTTAAGGAGTACATTTTGAAAACAAATAAAGATGTATCTCAGAAATTTAAGTTGGCAAAGAAAGCCCTTAATAATATAGAAGGAGTTCTGATGCAAGAGTAAATTTAGGAGAATACCCAATTTTGGAGTTTTTCTTGTATAATTTTTTTATTTATATCATTCTTCTGGATGTCCTTGTGAGCTATGAGCTAGAGGACTTTTTGGTAAAGGCCTTAGAAACAATTTTGTAATAGGATCAATTATATTCTATCTTTTTTCATATATGCTTAAATGAAAAAAAAAATCTTTAATTTCACAAATCCATCTATCATGTAAAAAATAAACAAAGTAAAGTTTACCTGCCATTTAATTGGTTCTTTCAATTTTGATCTTTTTTTAAAAAGATTTTTGAATTAAAAAATGATGTGGTATGTTTCAAATAATGTAACAGAATGACCAAATTGATTAAGTAAATTATAAAAATGAGTGGATTTTAAAATTTAAATTGAAATTATTAGGGGACTGACTATCTTAAAATTTAGTTAGAGTTAGTAATTTTACTTCATTATATTGAATATTGTCTTTTAAAACATGTTACAATATTGCTTTTTTAATTTAGAAACTTGAATTAAAAATAAAAGTTGAAAGTCTCTTAAACTTAATTTAACTGATAAACACGATATTATTAGGATGAATAATTTAACTAACATCATTTGATTGAATAGTTTTTCTAGTTCTAATTCAGAATTTTGTAATTGTTTGTGGTGTTTTAAAAACTAGTAAGGACTCATTGGGTGAACTATGCCAATTGGAATTAATTACCATATTCATAGCTATCCTATAATTCCAAATTATGATCATGATTAATATGAAAACACCTATACCCCTCTCAAGTTGCGGCTTCTTTCCAAAGGTTTTGGTGAGGATGTTTGTGAGTTGTGTTTATGAAGAGTCATGTTTGGCAGTGATGTTACCATTTACAAATTAATTACGTTTAATTACGTTTAAAGTGACATTGATACGCTCATGAAAAATTGGGTTACGTTTAATTACGTTTAAAGTGACATTGATAAGCTCATGAAAAATTGGGTTTAATTACGTTTAAAGTGACATTGATACGCTCATGAAAAATTGGATTAGAAGCGATATGTAGCATCTAAATGTTGGTGCAAAGGTAGAATAAATGATGAATAGAGAAATATTCTATTAAGAGAATAACGGCTACACACTACTACTTGACATTACAATTATTGTTACCCTATTTATAAGCTAATATTAAGGTTACTAAAATAAGATAAAAAATACTAAAATACCCTCTAACAAACTTACGGGTTAAGAAAATAGTACAACTAATAAATATGAATTACTTCTAATACCATCCCTTAATTCATATTCCATCAAAACTTGTAACACCAATTCCATCCCTTAGTCTGAGAAATTGATCAGTCTTGATAGCTTTCGCCAGAACATCTGCCAACTGTTTCTGAGTGTTGTAGTGTACAACTTCTAACACTCCACTCTGAACTTGATGTCTCAGAAAATGATACTTTGTCTCAATATGCTTGCTTCTCCCATGCAACACTGGGTTTCTGGCAAGATTGATTGCAAACTTGTTGTCAATCATCAGCTTCAGAGGTTTGTTTATTTTAATCTTCAGATCCTGCAACAGATTCAGAATCCACACAGCTTGGCATGCAGTAACAACACCTGCAATGTATTCAGCTTCACAAGTTGATAATGCCACAATAGGTTGCTTCTTGAAACACCAAGAAATGGGACCTCCCAGAAATTTGAACAAGTATCCAGAGGTACTTTTTCTGTCAACTCTGTCTCCACACCAATCAGAATCTGAATAACTCAGAAGTTCTGATTCATCCTTTCTTCCAGAAGGAAACAACACTCCATATTTCAGAGTTCTCTTGATATACCTCAGAATCCTGACAGCAGTTTGGTAATGGGACCACTTAGGTTTACTCATGAATCTACTAACCATCCCAACAGAATAGCAAATATCAGGTCTGGTATTGCATAGATACCTCAGAGAACCAACAAACTGTTTGAAGGTAGTAGCGTCCACATCCTTTCCATCAGAGTCAGAATCCAGTTTCTGATTTGTATCTGAAGGTATGACAACAATCTTACAATTCTTCAGTTCAAATCTCTTCAGAAGTTCTAATTCATACTTGAGTTGATGCAAAATAATACCTTTCTTAGAATATCTGAACTCCATCCCTAGAAAGTATGTCATTTTGCCTAGATCAGTCATTTCAAATTCATTCATCCGAACTTTCTTGAACTTGGCTATCTCCTGTTCAGAATTTCCAGTCAATAGTATATCATCAACATATAAACATGTCAGAGTCATATTGCCTTCAGAAGTATGCTGAACATAGACATCATACTCCATCTCACATTTCTGAAAGTCTTGCTTCTTGAAAAATGAATCAATCTTCTGATTCCAAGCTCTGGGCGCTTGTTTCAGTCCATATAGAGCTTTGTATAATCTGTACACCATCCCTTCCTGATTCTTTTTCACAAATCTAGGAGGTTGTGACACGTAAACTTCTTATTCTAATGGACCGTTCAGAAATGCAGATTTTACATCTAAATGCATCAGAGGCCAATTCCTGTTAGCAGCTATTGTAATCACCATTATGATTGTTTCATGTCTTGCTACAGGTGCAAACACTTCAGAATAATCCAGCCCATGTTTCTGTAGAAATCCTCTGGCTACCAACCTTGCTTTATGTTTGCCAATTGAACCATCTGACTTTAACTTCTGCTTGAAAACCCATCTGACGCTGATGGCTTTCTTGTATTTTGGAAGTTTTGTCAGCTTCCAAGTCTTGTTTCTCTCTATAGCATCAAGTTCTTCTTTCCTGGCCTTCATCCAGAGCTTCTTCTTAAGAGCCTCTTCTGTACTTATGGGTTCAGAGTCTACTATCATGGCACACTGAATAATTTCTCCTTCAGAGTCTACTTCAGTGTTTTGCAGCATGTCAAATTTTGCATATCTTCTGGGAATGTTTTTGATTCTTTGTGGTCTCTGAACTTGTTCAGAGTCTTGAGCTTCAGAGTTTCTAGCTTCAGATGATTGACTTCCTCCAGAGCTTTGACCATCTTCAGAGTCTGGCATATTTCCAGAGTCTGAATTGCCACTAGAATCTGGATTGCCATCAGAGTCTGGATCATCAGAGTCACCTTCATCTTCTGAGTCTTCTCCAGAGTATGAATCACTATCAGAGTCAACGTCAGAATTTACTCCAACTTCATAAATTCTTAACTCTGACCTTTCTTCAGAAGTTCTAACATCAGAATCAGATTGAGACTTATCCCAATTCCAAACTTCTGATTCCTTCACAATCACATCTCTGCTGAATTCAATTGTATTGGTTTCTGGACAATAAAGCTTGTATGCACCTGTACTGTGGTACCCTATCAGAATCATCACTTTGCTTCTATCATCTAGCTTCTGTCTTCTGGCTTCTGGAACATGTTTATAGCAAACAGAACCAAACACCTTCATATGACTAACACTTTGCTTATCTCCAGTCCACTTCTGTATTGGAACTATTTCCTTCAACTTCTTCGTAGGACATCTGTTGAGTACATACGTTGCGGTGGCAACAGCTTCTCCCCAGAGCTTCTGAGGAAGCTTCTTCTCCTTTAGCATGCTTCTCACCATATCAAGCAAAGTGTGGTTTCTTCTTTCAGCAAGACCATTGTGTTGAGGGGTATAAGGAGCAGTAACCTCATGCTCAATTCCATTCTCGTCGGGGGAAGAGCCCGCACAAAGGCAACTATTTTCATATAAGCGGCCATATCCTTCTCGTCGAGGGTTCCCGCTCGTACGATATACCTATCTGTGCCTCGGTTAAAGTGCTCCGCGGTCCATAACAGATGTATCTTGGGAAGCCACGCGAGGAACCGCTGGCCGTCTACCATTCGCTCGCCCTCGGCGAAAAGAGTATCCGAGCCTTGCTGAGTGATCGGTTTCACGAGGAAGAACCGACCTTTGAAATCTTTAACGGAATCGCTGTACGTCTTGAAGAGCTTGGTCGGCTGCTTAAACGAGACTCATCCCTGACGGTCGTTCACCGACTGGCGCTGTAAGTGGAAGATGCAAAAAAACAGCGGTACCGTGGGCTCCACCTCGAGATAGAAGCACACCACCTCGAAGGCACGGATAAAGGCCAGGGCGTTGGGATGCATTTGGGACGGGGCCAAGCGTAACCAATCGAAGAGCCCCAGATGGAAGGCGGAGAACGGCAACCTGAGCCGAGCCTCTTTGAAGTAGAACTCGTGCATGGGGAACATCCGCCGCCCATATCGCGAGCAGATGCGATGGTGCTCCTTCGGGCGGTACACCTGCCAATGTTGCGGCTCCCCGACAGGCGTGTCCTCGATGGTGGCATAGACGTCGGACGCATCGGCCACGAAGCAGGACGGGGTGGACAGCGGCTCTTCGGCCACCCATTCCTCGACCGGGGCGACGCGCTCGTCAAAATCCGGGACCTCGGGTTCGTTATCTTCGACCATCGTCCCCAGTACCAAGGCCGACATCTACACTTGAAAAGCAGAGGACAACGGTGAATTCGATAGCCAAGATCAAATCCACCCTTCCACCGCAGGTCAAGTGAAAGGGCGACAAAGGTCGGAGAACGGCGAGCAGACAGGCGCGCCCCGCCGATCCTCCTCGGGGCGTCTAAGGGCCAACCCACCATCCCTCCACGGGATGTTTATCGGAAAAAGCGCGCGTCCCCGGGGCATTCATCGGAGATAGCCCCCGTCCTCGGGACATTCATCGGAACAACCGACTCTCCCCGGGGCATTCATCAGAAAATCGCCAGATACGGCGGATCTTGCGTCCCTCCTCGGGGCATTCATCATGCCCCGACCACACATTCTAATCAAACGGCGGAAATAAAAGGAGAAGAGAAAGAAAAACTCACTTGTAACGGCGGCGAACGGGAGGAAGAACCAAACGGTGCGGCGGCGATCGACGGCAACGGCGGACGGGCAAGGATCTCAGAGCTTCGCAGGTAAAACAGCAAAGTGAAAAGTAGAAAAATGAGCGGGGACCCCCATATTTATAACCCGGTGCGGGATTCGAAGCGACGCTAGGCTCATTAATGGCATAGGGTAGCCGCCCCTACGGCCGCTTAACGCGCGACACATGGCGGCAACCTGACAGACGCGCCCCTTCACCCGCCTTCACCCCGCTCCGCCGGCGACGGGAGACCCCCGCACAAGCGCCCGTTCCACCGTGCACAAGACTCCGACGAACCTCTCATTCCACTACCTCTCTCCCCGACACAGCGACCTTAAGTCCTCGCTCTTTCCCAGAGCTTTGACTTGGGGGGCTCCTGTTCTGGTCCGGGCCCAACCTCGGTCCAGCCCAATACCACGCACGGCCCAATAAGTGAACTGGCCACACCGGGCACGCGCGTCCCACAGGACGGGCAGGGCAAGCCCCCAGCCACAGGCGACGCGTCCGACGGCTTCTCAACGTCCTCTCTTATCGGCCGAACAGGACACACCCCGGTACCTCGGAGCGAGACCTTTGGTTGCTCCACATCCTCGCGGGGAGAACAACGCCCTCCCGGGAACCTCGCGAGCACCCTCCACGGGGAGGACAACGTGCCCGGCGCACGTTCTCCACGTGCTCCCCTCCGCGGGGAGGACAACGTGCCCGGCGCACGTTCTCCACGTGCTCCCCTCCGCGGGGAGGACAACGTGCCCGGCGCACGTTCTCCACGTGCTCCCCTCCGCGGGGACACGTCATCTCCCAACTGCCCACCTCCGAAAGAGTAGGTCAAACCCACTTTCCGGAGATCACGGGACAGTTGGACTAGGGCGAAGACCACGTTCCGGTCTTCTCTACGCCACGTAAGCCCTAGCGGTCATTAGGGTTGAGCCTGGTCATCCAGCCCACCTCAAATGACCGTTGGCCCAGCGCTGGGGTCTCTCTATAAATATCCTCTTCCTCAAGAGGGTCAGGTAACACACTTCTTACCCCTTTTTCTGTACTTCGCCATCGCTCTGCCCAACTTCTCACTTTGGCATCGGAGTGTTTTGCAGGTACACCCCCCTTCTCTTCCTCATCACCGGTGAGCAAGTATCAGTCCAACAGAGTGTGGTCAGCCCGTGATCCCCTTCTGATCAGGTCAGATCAGTAGGGTTGTTTAAATTTTTAAAAAAAATAATACACTAATAGTATAAATTAATTTATCCTATCAATTAATGATGATCATATATCTAATTAAATTATATTGAAAATTTTAAATTATTTATATAAAATGACATGGTGATATATGTTTCTACTCTTTATTAGTATTACCTCTCAAATTGTAAGTTACTTTTATTTGGGACAAAAGACTATCTACGGACAACAATTAGCTTTTTGCACGAGTACCGACATTAGCTTTTTGCACGAGTACCGACATACAGCAAGCAATCTTGTAGTGCGTAACGATAAATCTGTAGCAAAAAATAACTATAACCTTTGAAATGAAAATAACAAGTCAATATTACGAGCTTAGCCTTTTTTCTGTTTTCTCATTATTGGCAAGAATGGTTGTTGCATTTATTGATGTATGTGTCGGAAAGTAATTCTGATGGCCATAAGATTGAGAGGGCCTATCATATGCATAGCTGTTTCATTCCAATCTTACCTACCATAACATCGACCAACCAATGACCATATGAATCATTTGTCTTACATACTACAGTACATTTATTTCAAATTACATATTTAAATTTCACACATCTGTATAGTTTCTTTGGGTAGTGATACAAGAAAGTGGATAAGTGTAGTAGTAGTCACTTATCAAAGGTCTTCATGGGATTTATCAAAGGTCTTCATGGGGATACGAGTTATAGACGTACAAGACAAAAGTCACTAAACCTGAAAACATTAAAATCCTTGCAAAACTTGAAAAACAGATTAAAATAATGCTTAGTATTTTGTGAGCCAATGTTTCTTAGTAGTATTTTGTGAGCCGCGTTTGAAAACAGATTAAAAATACTCATGCTTTTTATTTGCACAAAACTTGTAAAATTGCATATTAATAAAAGATTGTGGCTGAGCCACGGATACAGATATTTCAGAAACAAAACGATATGAAATTTTGGGAGGGGTGGGATCAATTGCTCACAGAGCATACTAAATACCTAAATATATTGCACACAGTTATTGAAAACAACCAAAACACAAAATTATCCTTTGCTGTAAAATCAAACACAGCCAATATGACTGCTGAGATTCTCTTTCCATAAAACCTTTCACTTGGCAAGCTCATTTCGGATTTGCTTGGCTGCTGCAACCAAGTTGGTGAGGGCAGGCTTAACCTCTGAGTACTTGCGGGTTTTGAGCCCACAGTCAGGGTTGACCCACAAAATGTTCTTCTCAAGCACAGCAAGCATCTTGTTAATCCTGTCAGCAATCTCTTCAGTAGGTGGTATTCTTGGGGAGTGGATGTCATATACACCAGGTCCAATTCCAGCACCATAAACAACTCCTTCACGGAAGACTGACAGAAGCTTTTCGTCTGAACGGGAGTTCTCAATGGTGATAACATCAGCATCCATATTAATGATGGAGTGAATGATGTCGTTGAAGTTTGAGTAGCACATGTGAGTGTGGATCTGTAAATATGACAAGTTTATTATAACAATGTAGGGAAATAGTGAAGGAGAAAATTGGAACCCAGTGACTTGTAAGCCAAACATACCTGAGTGGAATCCTGAACACCAACATTGGTGATTCTGAAGGAATGGACAGCCCAGTCCAAGTAGTGAGCATGTTCTGACTTCCTCAATGGAAGTCCCTCTCTCAAAGCAGCCTCATCAATTTGAATAACCCCAATACCACCCTTTTCAAGGTCTTCTACTTCATCCTTGATAGCCAAAGCAATTTGATAGCAGGTCTCAGATCTGCAAATAGAATCAGATAAACCAGGTTAAAAATGCCAAATATAATATGGTGAAGGACGACTATCTCTTTATGTATGTTTAGCTTTTCGTGTGAAAAGAGGTCTAGTTTATACCTAGGTTGGTCAACTCTAACGAAGGACCAGTTGAGAATGGTGACAGGGCCAGTAAGCATTCCCTTCATTGGACGCTTGGTAAAGCTCTGAGCAAGAGCTGACCAGAAGACAGTCATTGCCTTTGGGCGGCTCACATCACCATAGATGATTGGTGGCTTGACACAACGAGATCCATAGGATTGCACCCACCCATTGGCAGTAAAGGCAAACCCTGACAACTGCTCACCAAAGTACTCAACCATATCGTTCCTCTGCAACAAAATGAAACCAACAATTAGTTAGACGTACAATTCTTGAATCAGCAATCTAACAAGAGCATAAGTATGTCGAAAGCAGTTGCTCTTCAAAACAAAAGAAGCGAAGAGTATAATTATAAAAGTTAACTAAATCCAAGTGTAATAAAGCTATCTTCACTTAAAAAGACTAAAAGAAAGTCATAAGGAGATGATGAAAGCTGACCTCTGGCTCTCCGTGTACTAGGACATCAATATCAAGCTCTTCTTGAAGTTCAACAACTTGGCGGATTTCCTCCTTGATTGCCTTGATGTACTCTTCCTCAGAGATCCTGAATTAAACAACAAGAATCAATAACGGAATACACAATGTCAAATAAACAAGGCAGAGAGATCCACAATTGCAGCATTATCTTACTTCTTAGCCTTGAATTCACGACGCACCCTCCTAAGTTCTACAGTCTGAGGGAATGATCCAATAGTGGTGGTTGGGAGGATTGGAAGGTTAAGCTTCTTTTGTTGGGCATCCAACCTGGCACTGACATTAGTAGCACGGCGATGGTCGGAACCCTTCAATGCAGCAGCCTGAAAATTGAATAGAAAAGGTATAATTAATACCTCCACAAACACAAACAAAATCAGTAGTTAAACAGATAGAAGAGAAAATAAGCACTCACAGCCTTCTGAACAGCCTCGTTAGTCACTCTTGGAGAGGACTTTCTTGAAGCCTGAGCTGCAGCATTAGCAGAGAAGAAGGCCTGAAAATGAAAATGCATTAACTCGGTGAATTATGTAGTGAAACAAACAGGAATTTGCATTTGTAAATAGAACTTTTATCAGAAACACTCAAAAAGTCAAACAAACCATTGACAGTTGCATATATTGCTTACCACTGCTAACAATTGTATGATGTTACTATTGACATTGGATATTAATATTACAGGCAATAGTTATTAATATTGCAGGTACACATTACTTCATTCTGATTCTCAGTGATATACTTTTCTATCTTCTGATTTTCTTAATTGTGAATATCAGTAGGAAACAACAATCAAACTATATTGAGAAAATATTTCAAATGTGAGATGAAAAGAAAGAAACAGATAATACCTCATCCTTTTTGCCAGAAAATGCATTAGCCAATGCGTTTACTTCAACAACTTTTTGGGCGGCAAAAGCTAGCCATGACTTAATTTCATCATCCAACTTGGTCTCGTTAACAAGATCCACCGCAGTGTGAAGAAGTGAGCTGGAGGTGGACACAACAATTCTCTCTGCATATGGTTTTAAAAATTAGATACATCAAGTGACAATGTATACTTCAAAGACTCCCAAACTTTCTTATGTAATAAATGTATACAATGTTCAATGAATACCTTTTCCCACAATGCCAGCAAGAGTCTCTAATGTTTTGAGAGAGTCAGCAAGATCGTTTGCCCAAATGTTCCTTCCATCAACCACTCCAGCAAAGATCCATTTATCACTGGGAAATCCAGCCTTGATCAAATCAATAGTCTTAGCTCCACGGACTAAATCAAATCCATATGCGTTGACACCACTCAAAGATGTAAGGGTCTTGTATGCTTCAGCAGTAAGATCAGCAAAGTAGGTCTCAACAAGAACATGCACACCAGAAAGAGCAGGTGTAAGCTCTGCATATGCATCGGTAAATGCTTGCAACTTGTGAGATTCAAGATCCAAGACAAGTGTGGGTTCATCAAATTGAATAAATTGGGCACCAGCTGCCTTGAGATCAGCAATAACCTCCCTGCATTCATAGTTAAAAGCACGTTAGAAAAACAACAAATATATGTCAAGAAAATAATAATGCCCCACAACAATTTAAACTTCTTACTTGTAGATAGCAAGGACTTTGGGAAGCAGAGATAGGAGAGAAAAGGTTTTGTCAACTCCCTTGGCGGGTTTGGATAGCAACAAGTATGATACAGGGCCAACAAGGACGGGAACAGTTTCAACTCCAAGCTGCAAGACAATTCAAATATTCAATGACGGTATCTATAAAATGCATAATGAACCATACAGGTGAGCAGAACATTACTCAGCCAAGCACCCACTTGGCGTCAGTAAACAGGAAATGCACAAAATAAGGCAAACTAATAATCATTTCTTAAAAACCTAAATCCAGATCTAATTGAAAATGTCCCACACCCCAATAGTTCACAATGACATTAAACATTAAGCTAAGCTAATAGAGCAAACTTTGTTTTCTACATATTAAAAATTAAAAAAATTAAAGAAAGAAAACACTTACAGCCTTGGCTTCCTTGTATTCTTCAACAGCCTTGTGAGAAGAATAAACGAAGTTCACATCAGGACCCAATTCTGGGACAATAAAGTGGCTGCATCAACACAAAAGAAAACAGTTCAGTAACCAGAATAATATAACAAAGCCATCATAACAATACAAGGGCGTGTGACCATCACTTACTAGTTGGTGTCGAACCACTTGGTCATCTCCATAGCAGGCACGGTAGCATTACCTCTGGCCATTGAGAAGTAGGTATCAAACCCGATCTCCCCACCGGTCCAGCCGTACCTTGGTGGAACAGCACCGAGGGTAGCGGTGGCATCAAGTACCTGATCATAGTAAGAGAAAGTGTTGCTTGGAATATACTTGATCCCAGCATCAGACATCTGTTTCCAGATTGATGCCCTGAGATCAGCAGACACCTTCTTCAAATCCTCGGCACTGCTTTTACCATCCCAGAAGGACTCCAAAGCAAATTTCAATTCTCTCTTGGGACCCATACGGGGGTATCCAACAATATGAGATGCCATTGTTCTGTAAATCAAATCCACTCCAGATTTCAACAACAATAACAAAATAATAATAACAATAATTATAATAATAATAATATTCTATATTCAAAACCTTACAGGACTCACATTCCAACCGTTAAAAAACATGCACAAAATTAATTAGTTAGAGGATTGCACAGTAAGCAACTATATGAGTTCAAATGAACTCGATCTCGAATATAGAGATTCAATTTAACGTAAATCAAGGGTTTAGAACAACGTTTTGATGATAAAACAAGATTTACATTCCATGATATTAAAAAACCAAGCAAAATTAACTAATTGAAACGAGTGAGTAACCAAGTGAGTTCAATTCAGCTTAATAAAAGTTAAAACGTTCGATCTAGTAGTGAATTAACGAAAATGATAGTTTTAAAACAACGATTAGATGAACTACTAGATTTACAGTTTCAGATCCAGTGGATCTACACGTTACGAATCAGATCTAGAACTAACAGTGTTCATGTAAAGTTTAATGATGGATCTAGAGTAGAAAATGAAGTTGAATTAAGGTGTTAATTGTATTATTATTATTATTAAGGAGACGGCAAATGAGAAGACGGAAAGTGGAAAGAAGTAAACGGGGGAGAAAGAAATGAGTCTCGTACCTTGGGGTGTTAAGAGTAGGAGACTAATGTGTTCTCTGTGAGTCTTCTTCGCTTCTTGTTAAGGAGTAGCTTGAAGCAGAGAACAGAGTGCGAGCAATAAGGAGAGGTTTTCGCGATATTTATAGCCGTTTCACTCAGATCTGATGAGAATAAATTTATTTATTGCCATCACAATCCCACCTTCCTCCATTTTCTTTCTTTTTTTTATTTTATGAATTTTTTTCATTAAATATATTATTATTAAATCAACTTTAAGAGTTTTCTTTTTAATAAATAATAATAAATTAAAAGAAAAAATATTTTAAATACAATAATATTGAAATTGGTAACAGTTTGTATTTTGCCTGAAAAAGAGTGTTTGTACAAGAAATATAGTCTATATATTAATATGAATAGTGTCATTTCTTTTACACCTAGAGCTAACCGATTTATTTAATACACCTAGGAAAAAAAGTTGAATACTAATCTGTATTCTCTCTATTTTGCAAAAGGTGTCGTAAGTTATTTTGTAAAAATTACAAAAGAAAAACAAGGGACGATAATTTTATCTAATTAATTATTGATTTTAAATCCAAAACAATCATAGTAATTTTTTTTAAGTAGTCAAGAATTTGAAATTCAATTTTTAAAGATAAATATCGCAAACTCGAATCTTACTTATTTGAGTTACACATTTATTAACTAAGTTGATCTAAAAAAACATGCAAAATTAAATATAATGATATACTAAAACAATTATTTAGATTTTCTATGTTTAACCTTAAAAAATATTTCTTTATTTATAAAAATAAATTTTTTAAAATTAAAATATTTATAATTTAAATAAACTCATTCTTTATAAAGATTAAAATAGATTCAAAATCATAAATTTTAAAAAGTGATTTTTATGAAAAACTATTTAAAAAACTTAAACTTGAGAAAAATTTTAAAATTCTAATAGACAAAAAAATTTATAGTAATAAGATGAAATATTTAAAATAATATTATTTTTAGAAATTAAATTAATTTTTCATTTGAAACATTTTTTAATTAATTCCATGTAGTTTTTTAAAAATAATAATATTTAACACTAATAAACTTTTTTAAAAAAAACTAAGAGCCCGTTTATTTTAACTTAAAGAAATATACTGTTTCTTTATATTTTCAAAATTATTCATATAAAAATGTTTTCTAAAACACTACAAGTTTTTTAAATTCATTTTTCATAAAATAAAAGTCTAATTTTACCATTAAATAACATAAATATATATTATTACAAATTAAAACATAATTAAAGTTACAAATTTTTTAAATTTATATTTCAAAAATAATTTTTATAAAAAATTATTTTAAATAGATTTAAATATAAGTAATTTCTTAAAATTTTGATATTCAAAAATTTTATAATTAAATAATAAAATATTAAAACGACATTTTATCAAACATTATTTAAAAGTTTTTTATTTAAAAGCTTTTTTTAAAATATTCTTGTAAAAAAATATTTTAAAAAATATGTAATATTATAAAATCATTTTTGTAAAAAAAACTAAAACATACTAAAAAAATTTAAATAATATTTTTTAAATTGTAATTATAATTAGAGAGCATAATAGATATTTAAAATTTTATTACACGTATTCAAAAATATATTATAATTTTGTACTAATCAACATTGTTTTATTTACACTATTGGATAACTATCAGTTTAAAATATCAATGTTGTATTAATTATTTTACTAATATACTTTTATTTACTCTATATAGCTTAACATAATAACTATACTATCAGCTATAATTAAAAAGGAGTATTTTAATTATAATATATTATTATTTTTTATGAAAGTCATAATATATTATATTATCAATAAATTTAATTTGATAAACTATTTTATTACGAATCTATCATAGTTATATTAATTTTTAATTTTGACTTATTTATTATTATTATTTACTCTTTCAAATATAAATTATATGATTTTAAATAAGTTAAAAAATAATAATTAAGTTTTTATAAATAAAAAAAAAAAAATTGTTTTGTTCTGTAATAAAAAATATAATAAGGAGCGGTGGTGACAGTGGATCAAAGCTTCAGGCACGAGAAAAATGTGATTGACTTACAAGATTAGTATTTTAAGACTCAAGTCAGTATGTGAGGAAGAATAGTAAATAAAAATTGAGTTTGAAACTTGTTACATGAATTTGGCACTTATATATATATATATATATATATATATATATATATATATATATATATATATATATATATATATATATATATATATATATATATATATATATATATATATATATATATATATATATATATATATATATATATATATATATATATATATATATATATATATATATATATATATATATAATAAAAAGAAAATACAAACTCGCTACTTGTTAGGAGTAATTTGCGAAGAGTTGTTGGATGTGCATGCAGTTAAGGGTCGATATGGGCGGTCGAGAAAAGTTTCCCCTCAAGCCCTTGTTTATGCGCATCAAGGCAAAGGCTTGTCACGTCAGCCTCGGATACCGACCATTCTCTTGTTTACCCCTGGAAGGGTGAAAGAGAAAAGTGTTGGTTTCTTGGAGATTCAACATTTAATGCTTCATACTTCAAACGTTTTTCGAAGGTGTCACCATTACGACTCTTGGGAACCGAAACACTTGAGTGTTGCGTGCGAGTGATTTGACACAAGTTTTACTTCTTTTTTCAAGCTAGAGTATAGTTTTTTAAGAGTAAATGTTGTTTCTTCTTTTTCTTTGAGTCATTTCCTTAGTTTAGCGATTATCTTTTCTTTGACGTTGTGTTTTCCTACATCTGAAAAGTTAGTGCATTATGGGTACAAAATCACATAAGAGTGCTCACAGGCCTTAGAAGAATGTTTAATCTTCGTGGATGAAATTTCTTTACTACTCGATTGTTTCTTCTTTTGCTAAAGTAGTCAATCTTGATAACGCCTTTCTCGAAGTCGGTCCACTTCCGTACTGGGGTGTCTTGACCCTAAATGAGAATGAAAGGACATGCAGAGAGTATGGCGATTGCGTCATCCCCTTTTATGAGTGCATCTTCTCAATTGAGGATGTTCGCTTGCCCTTTACTGCTTTTGAGATGGAAATTATTAACCATCTGGTAATGGCTCTTTCGCAATTTCATCCAGCAAGCTAGGCGCATGTAAAAGTCTATCAGTATTAGTGTGAATATTTGAATGGTATACCTTCTCTGACCCTTTTCTTCCATCTCTTTCGATGTCGATGTAGTCTTATAACTCAAGGGTGTATCAAAGAATTAATATCCCTAGAGTCGAACGTCGGAGCTTTAGAATTCTATCGAGCTACCGCTCTTGGAAGACCAGTTCTTTATGGTCACCCATATCCATCCTAAGGCTCACGCAATAGTTTGTACTATTAAGGATAGAATAAATGGCAAGTGTGCTCAGTTGTTCCCGAAGTATTAGAATGAGAGTCATTTTTATGGGGAATATTGTGTATGTATATAAAAAGGAAGACCTCACTACATAATACATGTACCAGAAGAAATAGTTGATGAGTTTTATCGGCAACCTGGGTTACTTTAGAGGAGGTACCCCTATGGATGAGGCTGATCAGAAATGCTTGCAGTGCATTACTGACGTTAAATTGCCGATGGATGCCCGTTCTCGGGAAGAAAGAAAAGTCATATTTGGTAAGTTCCAAAAACTCTTGGCTTTTCATCTTTAATATGCCTATTCTTTATGTATTTGTCCTAATGATGATTGTGTACAGATTGGATGAAGTATGAAGTGCAACTCTGGCTTATAAAATGAGGAATATGTAAGACAGTGAGTAACATTGCTTTTAATATGCCTCTAACATTGTCGAGTATGTTGGGTCTTCATGCCCGTCCATTGCTAACAGGGTCAAGCTCCCACTCCTCTAGAGACAGTTGGACCCCTCATTTGAAAGAGTACTGCTCATATTTGCCCAATTTGTCCAGTCCTGTCTTGGAGGAAGAACTGGAGATTCTGGATCGGTATTCTTTCAAGGTAGATCATTCTTTCGACCTATTCATTTCATTTGGTGTTACAAAGGGTTTTCATTTGGCATGGTGTTATTCATACGCTTTCTTCCATGTTATTCATATGCTTTCTTTCATTTTTCTTTGTATAGGTTCTAATATTCATCACCATTGAATAACTTTCAAGGTGCATTATTCTTTCGACCTATTCATTCCATTTGGTGTTACGAAGGGTTTTCATTTCGCATGGTGTTTTTTTATTTCAGTTTCACATGATTTTCACATTTTTTGGGTTGTCTCTACTTAGATCTTTATTTTTGAAATGGTAAATTCGTATTTAACAAATCAAAACATAATATGATTGTGTTAACTAATGCTTTTAG